CTATACGATTTGAAAACTGACACAGAGAGGGAGGAGTGATAAGAAAAGGGGTCAAGACCAGGCTACAGAAACCCACAGAGACAGCTGACCTGAACAAGGGGGAGCTCATGAACCTCCAGACTGATAGCTGGGAAACCAGCATTGGACCAACCTAGACCGGCTGAACGTGGGTCTCAGTTAGAAGGCCTGGGCAATCTAAGGGACCTCTGACAGTGGAACCAGGATGTATCCCTGGTGCATGAAAGGACTTTGGGAGCACATTCCCCATGGAGGGATAATTGCTTAGCCTAGAGGCAGGAGGGAGGGCCTAGTCCCTACTCTAAATGACTTGACAGATTTTGATGATCCCTCCTGGAAGGCATCACCATCCCTGTAAGGGGAGGGGGGTATAAGATGGGAGGGGGGAGGGAGAGGGAACTGGGATCAATATGTAAAATAAGAAAAATTAATAAATATAAAAAGGCACATTAAAGATTTAAAAGGAGGTTTATTCTTCAATATGCAAGTAAGTATGTAGGGTTGGATATTAAACAATGGAAAAAATTACAGTTCATTTTAGAAGAGAGAATGCAGTTCTGAATAAAAGCAAGGAGCTGACCTTCAGTGTTGTAGGTGGGGAATATTGGTAAAAAGTAGATCTATATCTCCAGATTGCTAAACCATTCATACTTAAGAGGAATCAGACTCTGCATAGAACAGGGTTACGTGCATGAATTTGTGCATGGGGGTGCAAATATGCCTCTGTGTGTGTGTGTGTGTGTCTGATGAGCATGTGAATTTGAAGACCTAAGCATCTTCATTACCCAATCACAAGGGAGGTGAGGGTCTTACTAGCTAAAGAATTTGAGCCAGAAAGCTTACAGGTTGGCCTCAACAAGAGGGTAAAGACAAGAATGAGCCAGGACACCAAAAATGGGCAAATGAAAAAATTCTATAATGCACCATGAAACTTCTACCTCCTCACCCCCACACTTGCAAAATGCTTATATCCAGGTGAAAATCATTTACCAGGTAAAAACAAAAGAGAATACATCTGGATAAATAATCACCATACATTAGCATTTGAAGAGCCTTGGTGAAAACTCCCAACTAATGTTGGGCAGTGAGGCATGCCCATTGACTCCTCATGCCAAAACAGACAATGCTCTTCCTATTGGAAGCAAAACAGAAAGAATACCAACTATTTTTACATGTGATGAGGGAATAATGTGGGATTTGGAATTTCCTTCAATAGTCGTTTCCCTGTAACCACATCAAAGCTTCCACTTGGAAGTGTGTTTGGTGTTGTCTCTTCAACCCTCATGTGCCCACCTTTGAGGCTTAAATAGTCCCAACGAGAAATGGCAGGTATCTATGCCTAATTTGTTGTTGCTGCTGTGCTTAAGTCAGCAACACTGCTTAAAACAAAACAGTAACTGCCAATAGTAATTCAGTAAAATTTTATTTGATAATGAAAAATATTCCAGAGGAAACAAATATCCCATTACTGGGATATTTTGAGGAAATTAATAAAAAGTTGTTTTCTTTTCAATTAATTAAAGGGATATAATAATGTAGTTGTGATAATGTCTGCTGCTTCTTTTGCTAAACCCTCAACAAAGAAAATAAAGCTAGGTTATGTGTAGGTGATTTTGCCTATTTCTAAGATTTATTTATTAATTTTAATTTCATGTCTGTGAGTGTTTGATGGCATATATATATATGCCCTACGTGATACAGTGCTCTTAGAGGCCAGGAGAAGATGATCGATCTCCTGGAACTGGAGTTACAGACAATTGTGAGCTTTCATGTATGTGCTGGGGATCAAACCCGAGTCCTCTGCAAGAGCAAAAAGCACTTCTAAGTGCTGAGCCATCTCTCTAGTCTTAGGTAGATGCATTTATGCAAATGCAGATGCTTTTAGTAATTTGAATATGTTCAAAGTGGAGGATGTACTTCATTCACCTGTCTACCTCACATCATAACTCAGCAGCATCATTCACTGCAGATCTGTCTTCTTACTCTCATGATCACGTGACTGATGGAGCCCCGTGGCTCCTGCTGCTCCCCCACCCCACCCCAGTATCACAAATGAGCATAGTGCATCACATATCCTGACCCACAAATGATCAAGCTCAGCAATTCAACTCTGTTCTGCTGCTGTAATAAACATCATAACCAAAAGTGATGGGGAAGAAAGGGTTTACTTCAGTGTTCAGGTTCCAGTCTAAAATCAGGGAAGTGATCAAGAACGCAAAGCCAGAGAGAGATTACAGCAGCAACCGTGGAGAAATGCTTCATATTGGCTTGCTCTTAGGCTCACAATCAGCCACCTTTTTTTTTTTTTTTTTTTTTTTTTTTTTTTTTTTGTAGTCCAAGCCATCCCACTGAAGGATGGCATCATCCATGGTTGTCTGGACTTTTCTATGTAAATTAGTAATTAAGAAAATGTCTCAGACTAATGGGATGGAAGCAATTCCTCATCTGATGTTCTGTTTTCCCTGATACATCAAGTTAACAACCAATGTTAGAAACAAGCCAGTTGGTACCAAAGAACTGCGGTTTTGAACCATGAATATAAAATCATTATGAACAGTCTCAAACATAGCCTCACTAGGTAAAAGAAGAAACACCACAGTCAGCACATTTTTGACAATGAGAAATAAGTTTGCTTGTTTCTTGGCATGGAAATCCGTGCTTCAGGATTTGATGGATTCTTGGAAAGCATTTCTTCATCCTGTTCATGGTGGAAGTGTTTTTCTCCTAAAAGTTGCTGAAATGCAAGAAAAAATAGTAGTTGGTTGGCAAGCAGTCCAGTGAATACCACAGACGAGGCAAAACGTGATAGTGCAACTTGTTGAACTTTTAGAATGTTGACTATGCAATGAGTGATCAAGCATGGTCTTGAATTGTGCGCTTTCTGATGAGCTATGGTGGTGGCAAACATTGCGATTTTGGTACCTGTTATCAGATGTTCATACCCCTCATAGGTAACAGTTTCTCCAGAACTCAGAAAAGTTTAGTGGATGAGTCTGGAGAAGACTACCAAACAGCAACCATAACATTTTTGGTGCCATTTGGCTTTGTAAAGATATTTGGTACTCATCATTGATCATCACTGGTTGTTGTATACAACCTCATTTGTCCCTCATCACAGTCTGATTGAGGAATGGTTTGTTGTTGTGTAGAATAGAAGATGGCAGTTCAAGGGGACATTTAAATTACTACATACCTACTCACAGAACTTTTTGCCCCTCCACATTGATTAGATGTTGAGGCAACATTGAATTGAGTCCACGTTGCATTTTTTGTTAATTTCTCATGTACTTGTAAGAGCAACTTAGATGCTTGCTCTCAACTGGTTATCACCAACTCCCGAGGGCTGGTCACTAAGCTCCTCCTCTTCAAGGCTCTTCTCTTACAAAATTCCTTGAACCACTGTGCACATATGTTTTCTAGCAGTTCCTGTGTCAAATGCATTGCTGAAGATATAAGTTGTCTTCATTGCTTTATATGCCATTTTGAATATGAATAATAAAAAAATCACCTGCATTTGCTTTTTGTCTAATATTATTTCCAAACTGTAAGATAGAAAGGGAATAAGGATCATTAGCAAGGAAATGTAGGAAATGCACATTAAATGGTGTAACATAACTATATTTATTAAAATATACATTCACATATTAGATAGCATTTTAGCAATATAAAAACTTCAATTAGTTTCTCACAATCGGTAGTGAGATAGATTCTGTATAGATAGTTTCTCACCAACTTATATACATTCTCCTTAATATATATCACCTTCCCACTATCATAAAGTCAAAACTCTGTTAGGCTGGGAACTTTGTCACACATACACATACATGTATCCATATAAATAGATCTATAGGTATATACGTGGATATTCTATTTAAGAAAGTAAGTAAATTAACACCTTAAGCAAGTACATCTTTTCCATATTTCTTTGTAAATTATCTACCACATGTGACTCTGTCTGACACACAGAAAAAAAAGAAAATATCAGTGTTCTCCATAGTTGCCTGGTGGTCGGTGCCTCGATTATTGCTTTTAGTAGAGCTGAGTATAGTATTCATAGTTAGTAGTTAAGTAATTAAGTGCATGATGCTTTGTGTATGACAGCTTCAAGTCTGTTTGTCTTTAAGGGACATACTTTCTTACTTAAAAAAAAAAAGAAAAGAAAAACAGTATTACAATATTGTAGAGTTTTCCCCATCCAATGAAAAGAAATAAACACATTACTCATTATCTAATGAAAATTAAATTCAGCATATGTGGATCTGTATATTGTGAAATATGTTTTTGTTTCCTTAAGCTTTTACCAAGGCCAATTTTTTGAACTTGAGATTAAAGTAGATGGATAATGGGGCCATGTTTTGGTGACTATCATCTAGAGAGATTAATTTTTCTAAGGGAATAAAAATAAAGCTAAAACTCATTTAATTTAGTGTCATCATAACTTACCAGGAAATCAATACTAAGAACTTATCTTCAAGAACTAAATATAGTAAAATGTCTTCAGGAAATATTCATTTATTATTATTTTTAAATTTATTATTAATATTATTTATAATCAAAGTTTTTTTGAAATTATCTCCCCTCTTCTCCATCAAAAACCAACAAGGAAACGCACTTTCGTTCTGATAAATCACTACTGTCCGTCTGAGTGCAGTGGTCTCTGCGCTCATCTGTGTTAGACAGACACCACTGTAGACAAGAGCATAACATAGTACTATAGCCTACCCACTAGTTTACATATCCCGTCCTTATAAACACCATACCAGATGATTAGAAAAAGGAGAAAATGAAAATTAAAAATCACATAGACAATGCGGACATGACTGCTCCCACATCTCTAACAGCTGAAAAATGAGTGAATAATAAATTATAAACTCATTGAGAGTAGTTGTGACTGAGAGATCACATTTCACAGAGTTGCAGTAGGATTTCTTCCCTGGCCACCTTCGGTCTTCCCACAATAGTTATTTGTTTTCTTCCCATAGTAAGATATTTCCCAAAGGCCTTCCTGAGGAGTACTCCGTAGCAGTCATATTTCGAGTACGAAGAAGCACCAAGAAGGAGAGGTGGTTTTTATGGCAGATTTTAAACCAGCAGAACATGCCACAGGTAAGGTGCCAATATGTTTGATTAGGTCAGGTGGGTGTACCCAAATCTGGGAACAGATGTAGTTAGTATTCAAATTCTATGTTGTTTAGAGCAATCATCAATAGAGAAATGCAAGCATTATAAGTAGGATAGCCTTGATGGTATCAGTGATGTGAGACTCTAGTGGATGAGAGGTTTGTGGTTTTTTTTTTTTTTTTTTTTGTCTTGACTTAAAGATTTACTTTTATGTGTATAAATGTTTGCATATATATATATATATATATATATATAGAGAGAGAGAGAGAGAGAGAGAGAGCAGAGAAGTCATAAGAGAGCTCAGGGTCCCCAGAAACTGGAGTTATACACAATTTTGTGTCATCAAATGGGTGCTGAGAATTGAATCCAAGTCTTCTGCAAGAGCAGTTGGTGCTCTGAGCCACTGAGCTATGTCTCAAACCGTGTTTTTATTTAAACTTAGAGATTCATGTTTTATATGAAGACAGAGCTGATTTCCTTTTGCAGAAACTTATTGAATGGCTCCATGCCTTTCACCACTAGTATTATATATTACTCTGACACTTAAATACTTGTTTCATCAATAAAAACAAATATGGGCCATATGCCTTATGCCAAAAAGTGATAAGAACAATAAATTTAGGGCTGGGGAGATAGCTCAGTGGGGGAAAACTTTTGTCATGCAAAAATAAGGACTGGGGTTCAGGTCCCCAGCACCCACATGAATGCCACCTATAAGTCCAGTATTCATGAGGTAGGAGATGGGATCTCCAGAGCAAGTTAGCTAGCTAGCTAGCAAGACTAGTCAAGCAAATGAGCTCTGGGTTCAAGGGAGAGGCATGGCTCCACACAGAAAGTGGAGAGCACTTGAAGATGACACCCAGTGTCAACTTCTGGCTCCCACATTCTTGAGCACATATGTGCATCATACTTGCACACACACTCGTACTCCATATGTAGGAACACATATACCCAAGCATGCCACATACACATACACATGCCAAAAGGAAAGAAGAGATTTTAAAAAGCTCTTATGGAGCAGGAATTCCATAACGGAAGAACGCTTAGGTGAACTTATAGAGCAGAGTGATGATACTGACAGAAGTGTGATGGAGATAGAACGGAGGCAGAGAGTGCAGATCCAGGAGACCTTGTGGAAATGACAAGGGCGCCCAAGTGGTGATGCAAGGACCCCAAAAACCTCAAAATTAATTACTACCAGCATGCATTTGTGTTCATTTCTATCCATAACCATTGGATGTGCTTAGCTTTGGCTGATCTTACTATTAACACAGGTCACAATGTTATGATGGGATGATCATTTAAAATGGAATGCATGTCATCTACAAAATATCTCTCTTTGCCATGAAAATTATTAAGGGTTTACAAGGTCTACGTCAGTTTTCATGTGAAAAGGAATGCACAGGATGCTCCAATGCAACACACGTGCAGCAAGGCGCTTGACCCTTTGTATCCTCCAGTCTGTCTCACGTGTTGAGCCAGATCTTCGGTTATGCCCTTATATACATGGGACTTTGATTTGAATGCTTTACTAATTTTGAACACTGAATTCCAAGCCATACTCTGCATCTTCTTATTCTTTTTTTCAGATTTCTATAGTGATTGATGGCACAAAAAAGGTGGTAGAATTTATGTTCCGAGGTGCTGATGGAGGCTTGTTGAACTATGTTTTCAAGAATCGAGAACTCCGTCTTCTTTTTGATCGTCAGTGGCATAAACTCGGCATCGGTGTGCAATCCCGAGTCCTTTCTCTCTATATGGATTGTAACTTAGTTGCAAGTCGGCACACAGAAGAAAAGGACTCTGTGGATTTTCACGGAAAGACAGTTATTGCTGCGCGAGCTTCGGATGGCAAACCTGTGGATGTAAGTGTAACAGTGATTCTAAGAGGGTGCTTCATCATCCCTAACTAAGTTAAAACAAAATATCTCACTAAGAGTGGCTTCCTGGGGCTGGGGGGTGTAGATCTGTAGGTGGAGAGCTTGCATAGCCTGCATGGCACATGGGGATTGATCTCCAGCTCCATATAAACCAGGCAGGGTGGTTCATGGTGTGTGACGCCAACCCCAGAACTAGAAAGGTACAGGCAAGAGGATCATTCTCAGCCACATAGTAAATATAATGTCATCTGGTCTACATTAAGACCCAGTGAAATAAATAAATAAATAAATAAATAAATAAATAAATAAATGAGGGGGAAGGGAGGGAGGGAAGAAGGGAAGAAAGATTAAAGAGAAGAGAGAGGAGGAAGAGAGAAAGAAAGAAAGGAAGAAGGAAGGAAGAAAGATAAAAGGATAAAAGAAAGAAGGAATCCATTTCTTCCTTTAATGACCTCTTTCTCATCAATGCTTATACTGTCATCAGATATATGAAGAATATTTATTCCCAAGTCTATTTTCACATATAATTATGTTTGATTTTCAGCTGCATTTTCCAGTCAGCAAATTTAAAATAACTGGGTCATGCCTTTAAAAACTAAGATTATTAAGAGTAACTTTTAGTTAATAAAATGAAAATAAGACACAAATAAAGTATAAGCTTGGCCAAGCCTTTATGCATTAAATTAAAAAAATATTAGAACACGAACTTTAAATGGTTCCAGACTATCTGATGTTTTCACTCAAGAACAATAGGCAATTCGTTCAAGCAATTCTTTTGCATTTTCCACAGCTTACAATGTCTTTCTAGAGGTCCTTTGGACAGAAATACAGTCATTAAATCTATCAGTGGCTCATTTGGATGAAGAAACAGTTAGAAAAACTCAGGTGAAGCTAAAATGGTATAGAGTTACTGTTGATTTTCTTGCAAAATAAGGCCTGCAATCTTTAAAGAGTGAGATCTGTCTAAACTTAATAGCTAAATATTTCCTTATGGGTAAAATGGTAAGAAAGTCTTCCAAAATCTGAACGCAGATTACCAGGAATAAACAAATGTCAATGCTGTAAACACAAAGTGCTGACAATGAAATTGAATTTCAGAAATAAAGTTTTGTGCAAAAACACATTTCGCAAGAAAGGTGTATAGACACAGATACATAGTCAAGGAAACGTGACTTTTAAAGCCTTTTTCTGTTAGGGAACTGGAGGTGAACACATCAGAAAGAAGGGACTGTCAGGACCTGTGGTCAGGGATGATGGGGAATACAGGCAGAGCACGGCAGCCTGTCCAAGGGATGTGTTGGGGCCGCAGGGACAGCTCACTGGCTTGAGTCAGAATCCCAGTTTGGATCCATAAATTTGGCAGTATCTTTGCTTACAAAATGGACTTGGTGGAGTTGCTTATTGTAACAGTGTAGGATTTGCACCATGGTTCAAGACTGAGGGTTCTTGCGATGGTACTGGAGAATGGCATCAGCATCTGCCCATTTGTGTTTTTTTAAAAGATACAGCCTACATATTTTAGCTGGATACAAAGTTTTATTTTCTTTTATAGTTCAAAGTTATGTTGTAAAAGATATTAATAATTAACAAATATGCATGTTATTGCCCATCCCATCACTTGAAAACATGTTTATTTCAAACGTAGTGCTCATTACATTTAGCTATGCTACATTCATGAGTGTTTTGCTTGCACATATGTATATGCACCATGTCTATTTCCGGTGCCTTTAACAGTCAGAAGGAGGTGTCAGATCCCCTGGAACTGCAGTTAAAGATGGGTATAAGCTGCCATGTGGGTGCTGGAGTCAACAAGTACTCTTAACTGCTAAGATATATCACCCGACCCCCCAAAGTATAGTCTTAGTTTTCCTCTTTCTGGTGGGCGAATTTGATATTTATCGTCTTTTGGTCAGGGACATACTGAATTCCTAGTAACAGTTACACGAAAACTTCAGCATCTATTCTTAAATTATCCTTTGAGAATTTTTGTAAAATCCACTGTATTCATGTGGTGCTTCCAGTGCGTACATGGGTGTAAAGTCATGTACAGAGGCATGGGTGGTCTTTTGGAGGCCAAACCCCTGAAGAAACTAGCTCTATTTAGTACCATCAGCTGCCAGTAGTTCCTTATCTAGGGGTGGAGCTTCATGGGGCAGTTAGGGTCCCTGTGAGTTCATGTATGCAGCAGCCCCATCATGCTAGAACACGGGTCATAGCACTCCTCAACATGTGGTCCTTACTATATTTCTGCTATTTCTTTCATGATCATCCCTGAGCCTTGGGACAAGTTTGGTTTAGATGTCACATTTAGGGATTAGCCCTCCACACTCACTTATTTTCTGCAGTTTGTCCTGTTGTGACTCTCTTACGATCCAGTGTCCGCTACAAAGGGTTGATTAGGGTTGAGAACGGCACTCATCTGTGACTGTAAACATAAGTACTTAGTATGAAATTGTAATCCTTTAGAATTGATAATCTCTCTTAAGTAAAGTAACACATATGCAGTGCTGAGCACTGTGTGACACGTGGTATGATTTCAATACACGATGCGTATGATTGGGGGGTTAGTGTGTGATGTATTCACATGTGGTTCATGCATTTGGGAGTGCAGAGGAGTTTTCTGTGCAGGCAGATATGAGGGCAGAGCAGGATGCTGGTGTCTGGGATTCTTTCTTGATCATTCCCTGCCCGGAGACAAGATCAGGGCAGATCTTATTGCAGGTAGGTCTTGTTTCAGGTAGGCTTGCTGAGCATTGAGCATCCAGGTCCACCTGTCTCTGCCTCTGATGGTAGAAGTGTATAAAGACAGGCACAACCATGTCAGATTTTTCCCCCCATGGGAACTGGGAATTCAAACTCAGGAGGTCACAATGACAGAACAGGTGCTCTTACCACTGAGCCCTCCTGCCAGGCCCCTCTTGCCTGATATTTTGATAACAACGTTTGAATAAACCAGTTATAAGAAACATTAGTTAATTATAATTTTACATCTTTATTTTGCATAATGTGTATTCTATCCTCAATATTTCATTAGACTAAGTAGGTATGGTACTTAAACTAAATGAAAACTCTTCTCAATAACCTTTGTAAAATGCTGCTAAATATAAATTGCCAAGTCTCATCTACTTCACATTTTTGTGTCACCCACAGACCTGAGGCTGCTCATGAATCCACAAATTTTCTATGTGCCAATATATTTTGTTCACATCAGTATTTTGGCTGTGTAGATAGGATGGGGGCAAGTTGAAGATCTACAGCTAGCCAGATGTCTGTTTTCTATGACCACAGATAAACTCTGACAAAGTCACAATTTGATTTTTCTATACAAAATTCTTATTTATTAGCTTCAAAGTAACTTCAAATTAATTTCAAAGTATTGCATAACCAAGACCTGTTATGTGGGCAATAAAGCGCCCTTAAAGAAGGGGAAAGAAGAAAGGAGAGAAGGGGTGGAGAGGATTAAATCTGACTCATGCCATACAGCAAGCCTATGTGTTCTTATTTGTTAACTAGATCCTAAAATTCACAACCATATGCTAATTTCAAAGCTCCAGCCAGTGCCTGCTGTTATACAGTATTACTTACTATTTTAGAATCTAGGAGTTAAAAAAGCATTTACCATATTGATACTTTATCAACAGTAAGTACTGTTTACCATTTCCTAGACCAATGTTCTGATCTCTCCATTAAAGGTGTCTTTTCCATGAAGTACTTTTCATCTGGCTAAATGCCAAAAAAAAAAAATCTTCTGCAAATAGAAGAAACTTTTATAAAAAAAGACTGTGAATCACTTGGTTTAGTGCTATTGATATGAGATTTCTCTGGGTAGTATAACCTGTTCTGGAGGACCACGTATAACTCAAGTTAGCCTCCGGGTAACATTGCTCTTGCAGCAAAGTCACCCATGTTAGCATTGAAGGCAGGTGTCACTGGGTTTGAGCCTTTCTCAGGATTGTACTAATATAAAATCAATAGGCTTCATGCAGACTGCATTAAATGTAGGTTTTAAAAAAAACTCAATCTCTTCTTTTATTTTACTGGGGATGGCACACTTACTTCATATCTCAATAGGACATTGGGACCTAAAGAGAACCCTTTTCCCATTTCATGTTCACACCTTTGATCACCTTCCTGCAAAGTTTTACTTATAAGTATCATTTTGTAAAGTATTATATTGTAGCACATAGCAATATATCTGTAATTAGGTATTTGCCTTTATTGTTTCCTTAATTCAACATTTTATTTTTATTGCTTAAGACAATTAGCTAAGCTTTGCAACCGTTTTCATTAACTCATTTCCTGTCTGGGTATCTTCCTGTGTAGCTGACTGGTTCTCAAATGATCCTTAAAGTAATAAATCATAAATTGAAATTTGACTCTATAAACATGTATCCATCATTTATATTAACTTTACTATTGTTTCTACTTAAATTGCTATAGTTCATAATGCCTAAATTTAATTCTCAAATCCAATGATGTGTGTTGCTACTTTCTCTTCACAGATCGAACTTCACCAGCTCATAATCTCCTGCAGTGCAAACTTTTTAGCTGAAGAATCATGTTGTGACATAGCAACTACTAAGGTAGGTTAGTTTTCTAAAAGTTGAAACACAAATGCTAGTTAACTTTTAATTCATGGTCTGTAGATTCTATGTACGGGGCACTATGAAGCATCTCCACTGAATCTAGGTGAATAATTTATTCCCAGTAGGGAGCCCTTCTAAGCGCCTGTCCAAACTTCAATGACCAGGTTGTATACTGAGATTTGAGGATGATTTGCTCCCTCTTTGGACTCAAGAGAATTTACATCTTCCCCCTATACCTTTCGCCCTGTTTCATTAGAGGCCTCAGCTGATTGGAGGTGCCGCCCACGTTAAAGTCACTCTGTTCCCCTTAAGATTAGTCAACCCGTCTGTTTTGTCTAGTTTGCTTTGTGACACATTCCGTTCCTTTCTTCTTTTCCCCATCATTGCCAACTCCACTTTTTCCTTCTGCCTAGCTTTCACAGCATCAAGGCAACTGCCTTCCTAACACACATCTTTTTCCTAGACAGTATCCCTAGCATGAGTCTCTAAACCACTGAATTCTATGTTCATTTCTTTCTTTGCAGTAAATATTTGCATATAACCATGGATCTAGTAGACACTTCACTAAGGGAAAAGACTGTCTGACATGAACAGAGTCCCTACCTGGTCATCTTATTCTCGAGTCCTAAATGATTCCCTGTTGGCAACAAAATATTGACCCAGTGGATTAGTCTCCCGTGTTAAATATTCTCCACCTTGCTGTATAACCGTTACTCCCATATCCATGTACTTCATTCCAAGAAAAAAAAAAAACAGTGCTTCCTGCGTTTCACTGTAGTAGTCATCCACACCATTGCATTTTATGAATATATTATTTGCTTTTAATTTATTGAAGTACAAATTAGACAGCGATGACGGATTTACTTTCACACTCTTTTACACCTAGCATGTTGTTAGCCAAAGATTGTCAGAGTATGCCTTCCTCTGTTTTCCACTGCTCTGATAAAATACCATGACCAAAGGTGACTTATGGGAGAAAGTGCTTTTCAGCTTATGGCTCCAAAGGAAGAGTCCACAGTGGCAGAGGGGGAAGGTATGCCTGGCAGCAGACAGCTAGAGCTGGAGCAGGAAGCTGAGAGAGCACATCTTCGGCCGCAAGCACAAAGTGGAAAGGATGAACAGAAAGTAGGGCAAGGCTATGAACTCTCAAAGCCCTGCGCACTAATGTACTTCCTCCAGCAAGGCTGTACCACCACCTCCTCAAACAGCATCACATACTGGGGACCAAGTGTCGAACTATTCTAGTCCTTCGGCATCATTTCTCCTGTAAACCACCGTACAGCAGGACCTCTTCATTTGCTGACTTGTTAGCTACAGAGTAAAGGCTGTGAAAGGAATAAAGACTCACCAAAAGAACACCGGGAAAAAATATAAGTCCAAGATTTAAAGTTCTGTTGCTTTGGATCTTGAATTTCCCCAAATATCTACGCTTGCTAGGAAGTTAATCAATAATTTTTAATTCAAAAACTCATATAACTTCTCCCAAGCAGTTTGAGTAGTAGAGTGAAATCTAGCCAAATAACTCCAAGTCTTTCAAATATTATGTCTTGCTTATATAACTCGGCCATACAAATCACATCTCAAATCCAGTTTATGGATCTCATTCCAAGAGAAGTGAGACTCTGCCAAATATCTTTCTATAAATACCCAAAAAGATAACTTGAATGCCAATCTACAGACTTGAAATACCAAGGCTGCCTGAGCCTATACCTTTAATCATGAAGATTTTATTATTCCAAAAGTTTCTTAAGTCATTATGATTGTGTTATATTAGGGTTCATAAAGTAGCCATTTTTCCATTTAAAAGTAATATAGTGATGTTTCAATACCTGTAAATGTAATATTCTTGGCCAATATTCATTGCCTTATGTTAGTACATTACTATAGAAATGGTTTATATATGAATAGGTGAAGAATTGGATAAAGCAATGGTAATTAAAGTCAGACATGACTTCACATTGTCAGCAGTTCTTGTTAATTTTACATTGCTAACCTTAAAATTTAATAAATAATGAGTAATGTTTATAAGGATTATTTGGAAATTAGCTTTATAGTTGAAAATAATTTAGGAATTCATACTAAGTATGTAAAAACAACCAAGCACTCTATTTTTCATGTTGATAATTATTTGTGGTGATGGCATCACCATCCACTCTGTAGTTAAAAGTAATTAGAAGTCTGACACATCTCATGAGCACTTAAATCAAAGAATCATACAAAAGCCATTTAAACACAGCTTATGAACTTCTGATACCAGATGTCTTCTTTGCTTTTTATTTTTTAAAAATGTCTTGATGGGGGCTAGAGAAACAGCTCAGTTGTCAAGAGTGCTCAATGTACAGCCATGTGACCTGAGTTCAGAAGCCACCACTCGAACAAATGCCACATGACTGACAACGTAAGGGAAAAAAATTACTCAGGGAGTAATAAATCATCTGGGAAGAATAAACTGCCAGAGTAGCATTCCTGTTTCATCTGAATATAATTTTTAGGATTTTGGATTTGAAATTTTGTTAGCATACCCAATGATCACCAAATCTAGAGGCAATGAACATGAAAACATTAGTGCAAAATACAGGCATCTAGTCCCACTGTATCTGGTGCTGTTTGTTAAAGTTTTCATTGCTATCAAAAGCATTAGAGTTTTCCCTATCAAAAAAAATAATTTGTGAATTCTTACTTTAGAAAATAAATACAAGAAGTAAATGAATATAAGGTACAGGAATGAAAATAGGTATCTATCATGTTCTCACACCACAGAAGAAAACCACCAAGAATCTTTTCTATTCATAACCTGAAATGGTTTTTCCACTCATGTGTAATTTGTAGCATACGGAGCAACTGGTGAGTTCTCCCACTTGTTTACCCTTCACTGAAGCTGCAAATAAAGAGTTAAAGAGTTAATCATAGGATCCATGGGCTATTGGGTGTCAATAAGAGTCATTCTCTTTTGACTCGCCTTGTGAATTAATTTTTCCTCTATATTATGAAATTTTCATTTTGGCTAGGTATGTAATGTGATATAGGTGCATGCGTGCTTGTGTGTATACTTGGGTGTGTGTGAGAGAATGTGTGTATGTGTCTGTGTAGACATATGCATATCGGCTATGGATACAGTCACAGGAGAGCAGAAAAGAGCATCAGAGGCTAGAATAACAGCTGGGCATAAGTCCCTAGATGTAATTGCTGTCTCTCCTGCCTCTTGAACTAAATTGTTGTTGTTGGTGGTGAGAATTCTGTCAATTTATCACCAAATTTTACTTTGTGTTGTTCAGCACATTCTAAACTCCCCAGATTCAGTGTCTCTACTTTATATTGTTTTTAAAGGACAATGGAGAAGAATAGTGTATACTTAGATTAAATAGTTATTATCTTAGAGTGTTTGAAATCGTTTCCACCTTTACTTACAGTTATAACAAGCTTTTTGTAGTGCCTATATTTTATCAATTAAATGTATATGATTTAAACTTTTGTTTGCCAGATACTATTTACATCTTGCTTATGTAAAATCTCTTATGTAATTATTTTAAATATATAATATTATTATACTTGTCATAAGGTCACCCTCATGTAATTAAAAATTTTCACTGAAACAATCTGTTTGCATGTATGTGTGTGTGTGTGTGTGCGTGTGTGCTTTGTTAGTCTGGTTTATATATGCTGGAGGTTTAGTGATAAAGTGTGATAATTCTTCATACGTGGATGACAAGGCTTGGTTAAGAAGAAAGAAGTATGGCTGGCAAGCAACTATCTCCTGTTTGATAGGAGCTAGTATCAAGAACTGACATCATTTTCTAAATTTTCTTTGGGCATTATAGTGTTCCGAACAAGACGACTTTGGAAGTACCACTCCATCATGGGTGACCTCTCACACTGGTAAAACATCTTCACATCTGTCGGGAAGCCAGGAGCTTAAAGACCTGTGCCAGTGCATTCCGAACAAGGTATGTTCCCCTTCATATGTACATATCTACAGAAGGTGCTTTTTCCTCAGTGCTGAGGAAGTCAAATCTCACAAACACCCACCCACCAAAGCGGGTCAGAAAAAGGAAGATTTCTTGGATTTTTGTTTTCTTTCTTTTCTTTCTTTCTCTCTTTCTTTCTTTTTTTTTTTTTTTTTTGAGATATTATTATCATCACGTTTTTCACATCCTGACCACGATTTCCCTTCCCTCCTCTCCTTCCAGTTCTTCAGGCTCCTCCCCCACCTCCCCTCTGCCGGGGGCCCTATCCATCCCTTTTCAGTTTCTCTTCAGAAAAGGGCCCGCCTCCCAGAGATGTCAATCAAACATGGCATATGAAATTGCAGGAGGACTGGGCGCCTCCCCTCATATTAAGGCTAGACAAAGCAAACCTGGAGAGAGGGATAGGGTTCCCAAAGCCAGCAAAAGAGGCAGAGACAGCCCCTGCTCCAACTGTTAGGAGTCCCAAGAAGACCAAGCTATACAACTGTAGTGTAGATGGAGAGGGCCTAGGTCAGGGTTGTTGGTTCAGTCTCTGTGAGCCTCTTGAGCCCAGGTTAGTTGATTCTGGGAGTGTTTTGGTGGTGTACTTGACCCCTCTGGCTCAAACAATCTCCCCCACCCCACCTCTTCCTCAGGGTTCCCTAGCTCTGCCTAATGTTTGGCTGTGGGTCTCTTTTGCTCTCCTTCTAATGTATGAAAGTTATAATTAACAGAAAAAGTTGAATAGAAAAACTGTATGGCAGGGACGTATGAAGCATATATAAACGCTAGGAACAGGCTGCAGTTTCAGGAGACTGTGTACACAGTACATGCTAGGAACAGGCTGCAGTTTCAGGAGACTGTGTACACAGTACATGCTAGGAACAGGCTGCAGTTTCAGGAGACTGTGTACACAGTACATGCTAGGAACAGGCTGCAGTTTCAGGAGACTGTGTACACAGTACATGCTAGGAACAGGCTGCAGTTTCAGGAGACTGTGTACACAGTACATGCTAGGAACAGGCTGCAGTTTCAGGAGACTGTGTACACAGTACATGCTAGGAACAGACTGCAGTTTCAGGAGACTGTACACAGTACATGCTAGGAACAGGCTGCAGTTTCAGGAGACTGTGTACACAGTACATGCTAGGAACAGACTGCAGTTTCAGGAGACTGTGTACACAGTACATGCTAGGAACAGGCTGCAGTTTGGGAATTTGGTGCTGGAGAAAAAGTGCCCGATCTTTAACAAAGACACAGAAAACACTCTGTATAACACTTCACCTTTCCTGTCTGATGACTATATTTGTGAAGCATCTGCTCATTTCAAAGCACCTTCCCCTTTTCTATTAATTAATTCTCTCTGTGAGGCATATTCAATTAATTTGCTTCATCTAAAACTTTGTTTCTTTGATCAGTGATGCTGGGCCCATGGACCTCCATGAAAATCCTTTTTAGGGCCATAGAAGTCATAAGGTCTGTTTTAAAAATGGGCAGGTAAATAAGTGACAGGTAGGTTGGTATGTAGGTAGACAATATAGAGATGATAGATGGATAGATAGGTAGGAAGGTATGTAGATAGATAGATAGATATGATAGATAGGCAGGCAGGCAGGCATATTTGGCTTTAGAGCAATGGAACAGAATGATTTTGACACAACATTAATTTTCTTTCCTCAGGAGGAAGCAGGATCACCAGGAACTCCAGGTTACATTGGACATAAAGGGGACAAAGGAGAACCGGTAATGTGAACACAATGAATGCTCTTGGAACAAAGGGATTTGTTCAAAAGTGACTTAAATGATTTTTCCACCTCATACTTCCCATAAACACATTTCTAAAAGGCTTTCAAAAGATCAACTGAGATGAAGATATCTGTAAACTAGAGTCCTGTCAGCATTTGAGTCTGCTTCTGAGATTAAAAAATTCTGAGAAATCTAGAACAGCGAGTCTTTGTACCTCTGCGTTCTGAACAACGTTGTTAAGCAGAGGTATGTCCCAGGTGCTTGCTAGCCTTCCCCATTACTCTTTTCTCCAGATACCTAAGAAACATAGCCCCCTAGCCCACTGATGGGTCCCCACTGAGCAGATACCTAGCCCCCTAGTCCACTGATGGGTCCCCACTGAGCAGATACACAGCCCCCTAGTCCGCTGATGGGTCCCCACTGAGCAGATACACAGCCCCCTAGTCCGCTGATGGGTCCCCACTAAGCAGATACATAGCCCTAGTCTGCTGATGGGTCCCCATTGAGCAGATTCCAATGGCCACCTAGTCTGCTGATGGGTCCACATTGAGCAGATACATAGCCCCCTAGTCCGCTGATGGGTCCCCACTAAGCAGATACATAGCCCTAGTCCGCTGATGGGTCCCCATTGAGCAGATTCCAATGGCTAACTTTTACTAAGCATCCATGGGAAGCCTAGTGCTGCATGTTTAGGAGAAATAAAGAATAGGATAAAGTGCTCCCTGGTTTGTCACTCCTAGAAGGAGATAGAGAATATCCTTGTCACATGTTATAGGAGAGTTTCAGGAGTCCTAAGAAAACAACCCAGAGAGACTGGAAAGCACTGAACAGAGGAGACCCTGACCGCTCTTGACCTCTCCTCATGCAATCGATTGTATGCGTCAAGACCATGCGTCAAGACCTGTCTTCCCTTTGACAAGCTTAAACTTAGCTGTAATGTTTTCTGGTCTCTTGAATATATCTTTTAAATAATTATATAAATTAATCTGTACTATGGTCAGGAGACTGTGCTTTTCTGTCAAAGGGGAAAAGAGACCAATTCCTCACTTGGGAATCCATGACTCAAAATTCTTTACATAATCTACTTGGGCTTTTGGGAAGGAGATTAATGCCTGACAGGGCCTCGAAACTTCTATTGAATAAGTCATTTGTGTCTCAGAGGAATGTCTGTCCATCATACCTTGCATGGGGCAGTCTAGCATGCAGTAGATGCTGGAGAAGAGGTTTTTGAAATGAAATGGGCCGTTTTGATTATTCCAGTTATAAATCTTGGACTCCTTTGCTTTTGCTATCGCTATAGTATCGTTATAGGAAAGTTCAGATAATTAAGCACATTATATAACATCTACTTAAACCACACTGAGTGTTCAAACATTACAGTCACCATGGGCAAACACTGAGACTGATGCTTTCCAATGCTCTCATATTTGACCCCCATACAATCATGTTGGGCATCAGTATTGCCGTTTTACAGATGGGAAAACTGAGAGTTAGTGAGGCTGAATTATTGCCCAAACAGCATAGGCTGAGGCTGAGGACTGAGGCGAGGTCTGGCGAGTCCATTATCCTTCTCTTGACCGGTCTCCATTTTGAAAACAGCTTTCTTTGTAGTGTGTGCTGTCACTGGGGCATTCTCTACTGTGTACTGTTTTATCCTGATAAACGTGTAAGGAGTGCCAGCCTAGTATTTATACCCTCATCTTACAGCTGGGAGGGGGGATGCATAGGTAAATGGTGTACAGAAAAGAAAAGGTGTACCACGCAAAAAGGACTCAGCGGAGAAAGGTCCAGAGACCAGTCATAACTCTTCTCTGCCCAACAGTGTGAGCTTGGCCAAGCGCCCATGCTCTTGATGTTCCATTTTTCTAACTAGAAGGCAAGTGTTCTGAAACTGTGAAAAGCTGTCCATCAAATACCTCCCCAGGTATCTCAAGCAGTTTTCTTTTGCATCCAAGCTACTTCAGTTGCTCCCAAGAATCTCATAGGTTACAGACTCATCCAGCTTCCGGTGGAGCGGAACACAGTATCAGCCACGGTTGCTTTCTCTGCAGCCAGCTTAATGCAGCAAAGAGACCCTACTTGGTGGCTAGCATCGCCCTGGTATCGATAGAAACACTCCATCTTTGACCACGCTCTCCTCCCAGGGTCTGTGTCAATGGTGGTGCCAGCTCTGCTTCTAAATTCACTTACTCAGCTGTGAAAGAGATTTAACACTTACGAGTGGAAAAGAACTACCACCCGGAGGGTGTTATCTCACTTCTGTAATCCAAGGTTTATCATTTATTTTAAATAATTCTAAGGAGCATGCACAAAATAAAAATGACAAGAGAGTCACTGCTATTTTATTTTGATGTATAGTTGACATATATTACAAATATTTGACCCTAATGAAAAAATATCAGTCTTTTGAATTTCAAAAAATTTAAACAATACTATAGTTAAATATTTCAGATCAAATACTCCTATCGGTTTGTAATGAAAATACTTTATTTGATTTTAGGTGTTCAGGCTGTGAGTTTAACTTTGGTGACTGAGCCATCTCTTGAATCTTGAGTTTTATAAATAAATTTCTGTAGAAAATGATTAGCTCACATATCTTATGTGATTAAACGATTAGAATCGTGTATCTTCCCAGCTATGTTTCCCCCGTTTTCATCAGTTAACATATGGTGTCTTCCATATCACCTAGACAGCATTGCTAAGCTTCTCTTAGTTAATGCCTCTCAAGTATAATTTGAATTTTTTTCCTTAAAACTAGACGTTCTTAAAAGTACTGTCAATAACAAAGTAAAAAAGATGACTTGTTGAAACATCTTGCAGCAAGTGTGTAGGCAACATGCCACAGTGCATACAGCCCTAGCAAATTATTTTCATAGGGAATCGTTTTTATATTTAGGCCAGAAACTGATTTATGATTATGGAATGAGGCATATTATAATATTAAGCAGAATTTGTATTCCAGGTTCAATTTATATTTCCACCCAACATGATATTATAATAAATTAAATTATTCACATGCAAATTCTATTATAAAATAGACCTGCACTTTGAAGTTTGGTGAAATGACAGCAGTTATTTTAAGTGAAGACCCTTTACAAAGAGGTACTCAAACAAGGTAGCTTTGTCCCCCTGTGGAGACAGAAGCAAGTTACTACATTGTGTAGCCACTGTTTTGCCAAGTCCATTTGGAGAATGGACTAACTTGGACTTTAAGGATGAAAAATTATAGTATTTAATTATATTCTTTTACAAAGTTACCTTATCAGCCAGTGCAGACATTGAGTAGGTGTTCCTTACCTTATACACACAGCCTTTCTGTCAAATACCACAAAGCAGTGCATCATATCTACAATTCTGCTTAAGTTTAGTAAACTAACTACCGTTGGTTCATAAACAAATACCTGGTTACTTTTGGTAAACTTATATAAATACGTAAGTGAGTAGGAGGAATAGATTAGTTTCCAGAAGAAATTAATGCGTTGGGTGCCTAGAATCACAAGAATACACATACCCACATACATGCACGTACCTCTCCCCCCACCCCACACACACATACACACAGACACAACTCTGTCCTTCCTGTCTGAAGTGGGGAAACAGGGTGAGCGGAACAGTGGGTGAGCAAATCCACCCCTGGACCACACTTGCTTTCACTGCAGGGTTTATACAAAAACCTGTGTTACTTCCTACTCCTCTAACGTGCCAGTGCAATGTTCATTGTTTGGGGGAGATGTAGATACTTTTTAAAAATACTATTATTTTCCAATAATGTCCAATTGAGCCTAAATGATGCTACAGGAGTATTTGCTTTCTAAATTATTAACTTCTTCCTAAAGAAAAAAAACTTTCTTTTCTTTTCTTTTTTTTTTTTTTTTTTTTTTTTTTTTTTTTTTTTGAGACAGGGCCTCACCTTGTAGCCTTGACTGCTTGACTCGCTAAGCAGACCAGGCTGGCCTCAAACTCAGAGATCCTTAGGCCTTTGTCTGCTGAGTGCCAGGGTTAAAGGTGTGTATCACCATGCAAGCAGGAGGAAAGAGTTACTAAATTAGTTTTGCTCCTTCTAGGGTACGTAGAGAGTGAATACTAGGCGTCAGTCATGTACTTGACAACTAAGCAAGCAGAGTTACACTTCCTAGAGTGGGGGGCTAGTACAAACATCTTTCTCCTTTATCAAATGGAAATTTTACCTGGACCCACTTTTGATTTGTCTTAGTGACAAAGTTAGAAGTTCTTGAAAGAGAGCTTGACGACTGACGTAAACGGTTGGTAACTAGAGGGTGCATTTTAATCATACAGCTGATGATGCTCTTACTCCCAGCCCTGACTTAAAAATGAGACCAATTAGAACTCACTTGAGGAAATCTAAAATTTATTGAGCAGTAATGTTAAGATAAAGCTCAAGTATCTTCTGTGTCTTTGGCTTCTTTTACAAAAAACACATGATGTTGCCAAACCAGTGAACTCATTTGAAATAATTACACATAGAGTTACAAACTTTTACCATGTTGATAAAAACATTGACTTAGGCAAAAATTTTATGTGCTAAACACTGCCAGGAGCCTCTTTTACAGAAACTCATTCGACTCTAACAGACTTCTTAGTTCAGACTTATTATGAGTTTTTGGTTTTAGAGCATAACTCGCAAGGAGTGGAGTTAGGAGATGAAGCTCTGCCCACATGAACCTTCCTGTTCCATATCATCTGGATGTTGCCAAAGACCCAGATTTCCTCTCACACCCAGTTTGAATTAGATCCCAAATCCATTTGCCTTGCAGCTTAGGGAGAGGATTGTGAAGTTTGCTCCTTAAATTCTGCTCCAGGGAGTGCTTGTCCATTTTTAAGTCTATAAACATCTATAACATTAGATCTTCTAGCTCCAACACTTGGGAAGGTTGTATCCACTTCCTAAGAGTTACTGATAATCATCTCATTAACCAAATGAGAGAATTTTATAGTTTTATCTCCAGAAGGAAGAATTATATAAATATGATGGTTTC